GCAGAGTGGAGCACACAGTGGATGACAGGTTAGGATACCCATGGGCCCAAAAATCACTACTTTGATTCTAAGTTTAAAATCCAAATAAACAAAATCAGTTGTCAGAGGAGAAAACCCCAAAAGCATTTTTGGGGATAAAAGGCTCAGACCTGTGCCCTGACAATACTGACAGAGCAGCGAGCTACAGGATAGTGTGGAAAGGAAGGGACATGAGGGCCAGAGAGGGCTGCAACAGTCCAGAGGGAAGGGGAGGCGCCTGGACCCACGGTCCTGGGAGCAGTAATTCAGAGGAAGAAGGTTTGCAAGACACACGGGCAGCCAAATGCGCAGCACGTGGACACTGATGACATGTGGGAACTAGGAGCAAAGCATGGCTGGTTTGGGGCCTGCTCATGGGAGTTTGAGGCCTTTTTTGATGGACTGATCTCAGGGTACTGGGCAGGGCCATATACAGTGTCGAAAGGCACTTTGAAATGTGGGCTGGTAAAGGATTTCAGGGTGGCAAATACAGATGTGTGAGTCCTGGAAGAGCAGGTGGCCTTGAAAACTGTGGAAGTGGATGAAGTCTGAAATCAGTAAGAATGTAGAGACAGGGTCGGGAGAGGAGCCACAAGAAGGAGAGGAAAGGACCAGAACAGGGAAGGAGAGCCAGAGAGTGATGTGGCCAGAAGAGGAGGAAACCATGGGTGAATAACATCCAAAGCTAGGGTTCACTGATGAGGCAGGCAGGGTAAGATGCAAAAGAGAAAAGAAATGAGCTAGCAAATTCAGGAGGAGCTGGATCCAGAGGGATGAAGGATGAACCTTGGGAAGGGGGAGTATTCTTTCCCAGAAAAGGAAACAGCAAAAGAATGGAGAAAGATATGGAGACATTTGAGCTGGATCAGCGGTTAAAGACTTTCCACAAGGAGATGGAAAAAGGTATATGGTGATATTTGCTCAATTCAGTGAATGTATTTGTGCAGATCTCAGCTTTATCTATTACCAACGAAACATGATGACAAGGATTAGAAGCCAGCATTAGGACTTAACTAAAAATTCCTACTGTCATCTCAGCTGATGAGAGGTCCACCTCTCAAGCCAAGTTTCTTTTAGTACCATATTACCCAATGAGCCACAAGAAATACGTAATTAATAGAATATCTGCCTGTGTTATCTACTGAAAAATCTTTTTTTTCCTGCTTGCTTTTTCAATAGTGGCTTAAAACTCTCTAAAACAACTATGGATTACGGTGAGGTCTGCCTCCTGTTTTTATAAATAAAGTTTTATTGGCACACAGCCATGTTTACATACCATTTATTGTTGCTCTTGTGCTAGAGAGCAGAGTTGAATAGTTGCAACTGAGACCGTACAGCCCACAAAGCCTAAAATATTTATTCTCTGGCCCTTTACAGGAAAAACTTGCTGACCCTGCTGTAGAATTATGAAGCTCTAGCTGTGAGGATACCCTAGCTGGGGGGGTGGGGTGGGGGTAGCTAGGAGGGAGACCCCCAACACCAGGTATGTGGGGCTTTGCCAATATCACCATCCTCCATATGTATTTGACATTTTAAGACTGTTTGTAAATGTTTGAAAAGTATCAACAGAGCAATTATAAAAGAATTCTCTGATATTGTGGATGATTATACATAAACAAATTAGGGTAATTTATGTCAACAGTAGCTATTCAAGCCTCTGAATAAATTCCCTAGTAAACTGGAATCTAGACTAAAAAAAATGCACTATCTAGACTCATGCTAATTATGCAACAGGTATGTGGGGTGCATATATTCGCCTTTTGACTTCTATCTTCTTAGCAAGATTAAATGCAAGAAATCTGATGAGAATTTGCTTGCTAGTACAGGTAGCACACATCAAAAGCAGCACTCATGTCAAGGAATTCTAAAATATTCTGGAAATGTCAATTACTTCTATGAATATCTGGTAATGACAATGCAACCCCGACACATGCTGATGGAGCCTATATGTGACAATGCCTCAGATGTGTCAGTTAACAAAGGGTGACAGAGACCTTATCAATTTATCTGTAGCTACAAAATGAGAGAATAACTCATGCAGAAGTCTCTTTAAGTTTCTGAATACACAAAATTTGATTCTGAATGTACAACAAAGTTATTCTGCTTTGTTTTTATCTCAGTCTGGACATGCATTAATAAATATTTTCTCTTCAATTTCTCCATTTCTATGTAGATAACTAACTCCTATAATTTACTCTCAGGCTTTTTGCAAATATGCCTCTTGAGGTTTAAAAATGTTCCATTAATTCCTCTGGTTACTGTAAGTTACGTTCCTCAATTTTGATACTGATAGAATATTTTAGAGGTACTAATCCTTTCTTATCCAACTGTCTTTAGAATGTGGCATGCACAGAGGTTCTGAATAACGTAAATACTTTGTGATAACGATCCAGAAGCCTTCAGGTTCTCACAACGGAGTGAGGGCCTACGAGGTGATGATATCATTCCATCTGAGGTTGTGGGGAGACCTGACAGTAGGTCTCATTTCTTGCATTACAAATGTGCATATTCTCAGTCCTTAGCATCTCAGGATGGGGAATGTCTTGGAGGCCTCACTGTCAGAGTCTTAAGCATGAAGGTAGCAGCACATCACAAAAGAGACAACAACAAGCAGAGCCAGAGGAAGAAAAAACAACCTGGTAGGGGACTTTGCATTGTGTGCTAAACCAGCTCAACTATGGAGATACACATGTGGTGTCCCTATTTATGTCCTCCTGATGGAAACCTACAAGGATTGGGATTTCAGTCCACTAAGGACAAAGAGGAAGAACAGCCCACTTTGTGACATACTCTTCACCGCCTTTATGGTCTCCTACTCCTGTCATGGGGCAAAAGTGCCTATAGACTCTACCCAAGTACTTCACTGCAGGATTAGAGGTCAAGTTGGTGGTTTATTTTACCCTAAATTCCTAAAACACACATAATTTTCTTATCTGTAGGCTTTCCATGATCTCAACAAAAGGTCCAAATGCTGCCAATTCTCTGACTTCTTTTCTTTGCCACAGGAATAAAGTATTTTAATTCTTCTTTTTTCGTTGTTTTATTATTTTGCCACTGTTTTCTTTAAAAAAGTTTTTTTCATCTTTACAGAAAATTCCCAGATATTCTAGTAACTTACCTTTGTGCCAAATTAGAAATTACTGAAAGGTCACACAAAAGCTATATTTAGGTTACAGTGAGACTTGAGGTACATGAGTAATGCACCCTTTTATAGTCTGGATAAATTTAAGTCACCATGCTATAATTTCCTCCAGTATTATTCCACATGTAAATTCACAAAGGGAGAGCCAAATGTAGTGATTAATTTGTTCAAAATTAAGCGTTTCTCTTGGTGAGATTCTGATACTTCCTTAAAAGTGAACCGAATCAGAATAATGTGTATTTCCAAGGTTGGAGTGAGTGGCAGAGGTGGAGGGAATTCCATGTCTAACCTATCGGCATACCTGCTGGATGGAGCACAACGACAGAACCTCAGCCACTACTGCGGATTCCAAAACACACATGAGAAGAAACTTTATTATCTAAAAATATTTAAAGGTCACACATTTCTGTTTAATTTTTAACTTACTATGATTTCAAATAGAGATTCTCAGTACATGTTATTGAAAACATGTTAAACTGAAATTTAATAATGTTACATTGCATTTGAGTGTTACTTTAAAAATTTTTGAAGAATACTCCTATTTTCTCCTTTTACTCAAAACACTTCTGAGAGGTACAAAGGAAACAAACTATAATTCTTTTTTTTTCCTCCTACTTAAAAAGCAAAGCAGGGAGAGATGTCTTCTGAAGACGTCAGCAGCCATTAACGTCACAACTGAGATCAGACCCAGCTCTCCTGTGTCCCACCAGTGGAAAAACAGTCTCATTTCTGATATCGAAAAGGCTGACACCTTTAACTTCAACTTCATTCTGAGTGAGTGCTGTTGGGGCTGAGTCCTAAGGAGGCAGTTTGAAATTCCTTGACTCTGTCTAGTAACTAATAATCCAGAAATAAACACTGTGTGAGTCTGAGATGTTCATAGAGTATTTAATTCATTCATTACATTTATCTGTTTTATAAGTTGGGAATTTTTCAGAGTTGAGGTTTGAAGTGGTGAGGAGAATGTGCACCTGTGTCTTATACTGGGTTTTCTCCTTTGGGGGTGGTGAACTCATGTCCACACTGCTATTTTAATGGAGAGCATACAGAATTACTTTATGAAAATTTTTATTACTAAAACTTTAAAAATCTTAATCCACAGCTGAAAATGGATCAGAACAGATTTGGACATCATACTTGTCCCCTGTATACCAGACAAGGCCTCATTTCCCCAGCATAATGAGTGACAGGGGTAAGTGGAGGCAGAAAAGTACCTTATTCACCCACATTTCATACAGCCACACTGCTCAGCCAATATACTCTCTTTTCCTCTAATAATTCTTACTTAATCTCCTTTCTTACACTAATTTCAAACATCTCAGGCAATGTTTCCTAACCTTGTGTTTTTTTCCCAACATAGAGGATCTCACTCATTACAGAACCTATATACAAAATACTTTCATCACCCAAGAAATCTAAACACTCACAGCAGAAAGTATAGAGCAGTATTGATTAAAGACCTCTGCTTCCTTAAATGATTTCCAAAGTAATGTCAAACACCTTAAACTTCCCTGCCTTGTTCACCAGCACTATTAGATTTCATTTAGGAGCATATTTTAGCGTAAGTGAGGAGAGGAAATGTGAGCAGGGATGGCTCAAGAATGCATTCCGTTAGGAGCAGAGAGCTCCTGAGAGTCTAGCTGTGGAAGCCATTGGGATGGCAAAAAATAGTAAAACCGAAGGACAGAGCAGCCCAGGAGTCGGGGCAGGGTTTGCGTTGTCCCTCTGAGGGATTCCATGACCGCAAGGCACAGGTAGCCGAATACGTAAACAAGAAGACCACAGCTACTCAGTGGGGCCTAGTTACCAACAATAAGAAAAACGCAGACAAGGCACTCACCTATGTGCGTCTGGGCCATGACGTCGGCTAGTCTGTGGGCGGCACCGCTTCCCCCACTTTGGGTGGAAGAGGAAGAGGTGGTGGAGGTGGTAGAGCCATGGATGGCCTGGCTGATCCAGTGCTCCATGTTAATGCTGCCCTGGCTGGAGGTGGGGGTCCCCTGGGAGTCCCCCTGCACTGAGCCTTCGTCTTCCGAGCCAGAGGAGGTATCTGTGTGAAAGAGAAACAATTTGCTACGCATCACAGCAAAGAAGAACATCCCAATCAAACACAGCAAACAGACCTACCTCACATACTAACTGTTCAATGACTTTTATGTGGAACATTCTTGAAAAGTTATACCACTTCTCAGATAATGAATTATTTTTTAGTATAATGAATTTTTTATCCAAAACGCCTTAAATAAGCTACAAAAAGTCTTTTTTGACATTACAATGCCAGAGAAAGACATACTCACCAATTTCCTCCACTCAACAGTTTGGGAAGAAACCAAACGTTTTCTTTGCATGCAAAGACCAAGCAATAGGGCCAAGGGCAGCATTTTCTAAGAGATGTTGAACTTTCATGTGTTTCAAGGTGTGACTGCTTGTAGCCCTTGTTTAGTCCCAAGACGTTTCTCTGAGTATAAACTTAATTTATTCTTAAGTTTATTATGAGTGCAAGATACCCATGCGCCTCCCCAAGAGTGAGCTATCAGTGAAGAAAATGTATAAGGAAAAATGCACCATGGTGAAAGGCTCCCACCTCTTCTCCACCAACCTACATGCTCGAGACTATGCCTCCTCCTTTGGTGAGGACAATAAACATTACATTTTACAGTCAACCTAAAGGTGTTTACTCTTACATTCATTTCTTATCAATTTCTTTCATTATGTACTCGATTTTATTTTTTTTCCTGCTTTTCCTCCCCAAATCCCCCAAGTACATAGTTGTATATTTTTTCAGATGTGGGTTCTTCTAGTTGTGGCATGTGGGACACTGCCTCAGCGTGGCCCGACAAGTGGTTCGGATCCACGCCCAGGCTCCAAACCAGTGAAACCCCAGGCCGCCAAAGCTGAGCACATGAACTTAACCACCACCTACAGAGCTGGCCCCTTGATTTATTTTTCTATCTGTAAAAATTATCTTGGATTGAGATAAAACACGTTACTTTTTTCATTAAAATTAATGGAAATATTTTTCATTTAATAGCTTTTCACCTAGCAGCAAAGTTTTCAAGAATGAATTATTGATGTACTTCGTATTTAAACTTCAACGTAAGAATGACATTTGGGAGCCTACCTATAGGAGAGATATGTGAGATGCTAGGAGGGAACTAAGGATGTGAGTAGTTCCAGAACATTTAATGAGAATAAGAAAAATAATTTGCCTTAAATCAAGATGGAGGATTTTTTTTAAAAAAACACAACAATATTTATAAAGGATATTTTCCCTAACATTTTATTATCACTGTGACATGACCTATGTTTTTTGGAAAATTTTTAAGTTTATTTGTTACAAAAGCAACAATAATAGTAGGAGCCTGACAAATTCTCTCTCCCTGTCGTGCTTTTTAAAACAACTTAGAATTATAATTTACATATTTTTTTTGTATTCAGACATAAGGCTTTTTTCAGCTTTTTTTCTTTTTACTGTGGTAGAACATACACAACATAAAACTTACCATCTTAACCATTTTTAAGTGTACACTTCAGTGGTATTAAATACATTCATAATGTTGTGCAACCATTACCACCAGCTATCTCAATAGCTCTTTAATAACACCTCCCAACAAAGCAGGAAGAAGGGAACTTCCTCAATCTGATACAGGGCATCCATGGAAACCCACAGCTAACATTGTATTTAACGGTAGAAGACTGAATATATTTCCTCTAAGATCAGGAACAACACAAGGATGTCCCTTCTTGCCACTTCTCTTCAACATTATCTGGAAGGTTCTAGCCAGTGAAATACAGCAAAAAGAATAAATTAAAGGCATCAAGATTGGAAGGAAGCAGTAAAACTCTTTATTCACAGATGACACGATCGTGTATTGGAAAATCCCAAGGAACACACCAAAAAATTCTTGAATTAATAAATGAGTTTAGCATGGTCACAGGATATAAGATAAAGAGATAAAATATCTTTAAATTATATCCTTATAAAACATATATCTTTACAAAATATCGTTATACTAATACTACACAATCTGGAAATGAAATTAAGAAAACAATTCCACTCACAACAGCATCAAAAAGGATAAAACACTTAGCAATACATCTAACAAAAATTCAAGGCAATACCTAATAAAATCCTAGGTGGTTTTTTTTTGAGAAATTGGAAGCTTATTCTAAAACCTATTTGGAAATACAAAGGACCTAGAACAGCCAAAATAATTTTCAGAAAGATGGAGGATTTCACTACCTGATAACAAAACTTACTATGAAATTACAGTAATCAAGATGGTGATATTAGCACAAGAATAGGCATATATGTCAGTGGAAGAGAACTGAATCCAGAATAAAGTTTTACATTTACGGTCAATTTATTTTTGACAAAAGTTCCAATATAACTCAATGAGAAAAAGGTCATCTTTTCAACAAATATTGTTGGGCAACTGGATATTCATCTACCAAAAAAAGAAACAAAATATAGATCCCTACCTCACACCATAAACAAAAATTAACTCAAAATGGATCACAGACCTAAATGAAAGAGCTAAAACTATGAAACTTATATAAAACTTCCAAAAGCACAATACATAAACTAATAATTGACGAACTGATCTTTATTAAAATAAAAAACTCTTAAGCTTCAAAAGATGCTATCATTTTCCTCTGAGTAACGTAACAAATCACCACACACTTGATAGTGTACAACAACACATGTACCTATCCCCTTACAGTTCTGGGGCCAGAAGCTGGAAATCAAGGTGTCGGCAGGGCTATGTTCCTTCTACCTTTTCTGTCTGCTAGAGGCAACCTGCATCCTTGGCTCACAGCCCCTTCATCTATCTTTAAAGCATAGCCCTCCAACCTCTGGTTCCATTGTCTTTTTCGCTGATTTTGACACTCTTCCCTCTCTCTTATAAGAAGCTTCTTCCCCCAGCTTTATTGAGAGATAATTGACATACATCATTGTATAAGCTTAAGGTGTACCGTCACAAGTTTGACTCACATATATTGTGAGATTACTGCTATATAAACTTAGCAGCCATCATCTCATATAGATACAAAAAAAGGCAAAACATTTTTTTCCTTTTGATAAGAACTCTTAGGATTTACTCTCCTAATGACTTTCATATACATCATACGGCAGTGTTAACTATAGTCATCACAGTGTACATTCCATGCCTAGTACTTAAGTATCTTATAACTGGATGTTCGCACCTTTTGACCACCTTCCTCCAATTCTCCCACCCCTACCCCATGCCTCTGGTAACCACAAATCTGATATCTTTTTCTATAAGTTTTTTGTTTTTTTGGTTCCACATATAAGTGACATCCTACAGTATCTGTCTTTCTCTGTCTGAATAAAGAGCTTTTTGATTACAGCGGCCCCATATGGTTAATCCAAGATAATTGCCCCATCTCAAGATCCTTAATTTAATCATACGCACAACGTCCCTTTTACAATGTAAGCTAATATATTCACAAGTTCTAGGAATTAGGACATGGATATCTTTGGAGGAGCCATAATTCTGTCCTCCATTAAGACACCATTAAGAAAAGAAAAGTCACAGTTTGCAAATTGTATATCTGATACAGGACTAGTATTCAGATTACATAAAGAACTCTTAACCAGTGAGAAGACAGACAACTCATTTAAACAATGGGTAAGAAAACTGAACAGACATTTCACTAAGAAATATATACAAATGGCTAATAAGCACACAAGAAGATGCTTTACCATCATTACTCATCAGGGAAATGCATATTAAAACCACAGTGAGATACCACTTCACATCCACTACAATGACTATAATAAAAAATACAGACAATACCAAGTGTTGGTGAGGATGTTGACAAACTGAAATCCTCATACATTGCTGGCGAGAATGTAAAATGGTACAGCTATTTTGGAAACAATTCGGCAGTTTCTTAAAAGTTAAATGTTAAACTTACCATAAGACTCATTAATTCCACTCCTAGGAATCTCCCCAAGATAAATATATATATATACACACACACAAAGACATACACATAAACGTTGACAGCAGCATTATTCATAATAGCCAAAAACTGGAAACAAGCTAAATATCCACACCCCAGTGAATGGATAAACAAAATCTGGTATACATCTATCTAACAGGAAACAGTTCAGCAATAAGAAGGAAAGAACTATTGATGAATGCTACAACATGGACAACACTCAAAAAATTACCCTAAACAAGATACAAAAGAATATATTTTATAATTTCATTCATGAAATGTCTAGAATATTTATAGAGGCATATAAATCAGGTCAGTGGCTCCCTAGGGTTGGGTGTGAGAATGGGAATTAACTGTAAATGGGCATGAGAAAAATTTTGGGGGTGATGGAGATGTTCTAAAACTGGATTGTAGCAATGCTTGCACAATCTATATAGTTACTAAAAATCATTGAATTGTATACTTAAAATAGGTTAATTTTATGGGATTAAATTATACCTAAAGAAAGGTATTAAAAAGCAAATGTGTATTCTGGAATAGTTTGGTGTAATATTGTGTGAATATCAACTGCATCAAGTTGGTTGATACTGTTGTCTTAATATCTTTCTTATGATTATTTCAGAAGGCTATTTTAGAAATCTTCAGTTCTTCTTCTTCTTCTTTTTTTTTTTTTTTGCAGAGTAAGAGTTGCCCTGAGCTAGTATCTGTTGCCAATCTTCCTCTTTTTGTTTGTGAGCCACTACCACACCATTGCCACTGACGAGTGGTGTAGGTCTGTGCCCAGGAACTGAAGCTGGGTGCTGAAGTGGAGTGCGAATTTAACCAGTAGGCCACCGGGCTGGCCCTCCAATTATTATTCTTGATTTTTCAATTTTCCCCTTCACTATGCCAGTTTCTGCTTTCTAAATTACAATGTTCTGCTTTTCAGTATATACATATTCATTGTTATGTCTTCCTGGTGAAGTCCTCATTTTCCACTACACAATATCCCTCTTTATATCTTGTACTACTTTGTCCTGTTGTCTACTTTGATATTAACTAGACTTGTTCACCTTCTTATGCTTAATGTTTGCATTGTAT